GAACAGGAAGCTCCCAGGAGGCAGCAAATTGAAAGATCATTCGTTTACGAGGCAGGAACAGGTTTGATAATCCTAGGTCCACTGAAGAACAGAAACCATCAAGATTAGGTTTTTCTATTAGCAAAAAAAGCTAAAAGAGACTGCACTTCCTATGCGTTTTATATATTCCATCTTGTAACATTTGGAAGAGGAAAGAAAAGAGGACAGTTTTTGGTCTTATAAAGCAACACCTCGCTTTTTGGTTAAGTCGTCATCGGAAAGACTTAAATTAGGGAAAGAGCACCCTCTGCTGGCTACTCAGTAACGTTTTAAGAAAAACAGGCACGGAGTCTAAAAATAACAATGAATGAGTTACATGTCACATTATTGCGCTTACAACTTTCACCATGGATTCAGTGATGATGGAAATTAGGGGAAGGGAACAGGTTTAATAATGTGAAAGCTATATTTATGTCATGTCAACTCTTTCTTTTCTTCCCTCCGGCTTTTTCTTCCTTCCTTCCTTCCATTCTTCCCTTCATCCTTCCTTCCATCTTTATCTTTCACCCTTTGAATAAATAGCTCAGAAACACCCTTTTTATAAATCCTGTGTAAAGACAGAAAGCACAAGGTGAGATTCAACTTTAGAGATCTATGCTGCTTGTTTCAGTACGATTTCTTTATGAGGTTCACTTCGTTTGTGTATCTAAGACCAACCTAACAGATGAGGTCAAAAATTTTAAGACCACAAACGTTCAGCAGCTAGAAAATTAATGGTGTCAAGTACAGAAGGATAAGCATCTGTCGACTTAGGAAAGGGTTATCTTCCCAGGGGCAGTTGATATGTTGGTTGTTTAGAATTAGACGTCTTTTCTCATTTGTTCCTGTACCAGCTTGCAACTATACAAATATGCATTAACCTAAAGTGGATCTGAGACAGACTACTAACAATACAATTATTTCTACTCTATCAAAATAATATGTAACTGTATTTTTATAGGAAAAGGCCCCATAATACTTCCAACTTGGAATCTCAGGAGCCCACCTCATTTTCCCAAACGAGAATAAGCAGCCTTCCTCAACTTCTTCATTTATGGAGAAGAGGTTTCTCTGGGATACCCAGGCTCAGTACTCCCAGCACCAGTATCTTGTTAGTTCTCTCTGTTGCAAAAAAAGAAAAAGGTAACTGACTCACTGGGACAGTCAGTCACACCCCAGGATTCCAAACTAAAGAAAAGGGGAACAAAGGAAAGTTCCCATCATAATGAGATCAGAGAAAGCAGGGTCACAAAAGGTGGCCTGGCCCTGCCTTCTTCAACGAGCACACACAGACACACACACAGACACACACACACACTTTCCCCTGGGTCACCAAAACTCCTTCCCTAAATTGATCAATTGTAGCCTAAGATGGCCTGTAATGATAGTAGTATCTGGGCTTCAGTGGCCTCAAGAAATACAGCATTAGTGTTGTGGAATGCATTTCCTATTAGCATTTTTATTATTTGCAGCATAATTTATCTTAAAACCAATTTCATTTCTTTTAGCCTATCAAATAAAACTAACATGCTTAAATTAAACTTTGTAGGATGTGAAATAACTCAAGGAGAGCTTATGAGAAGAGTTTACAAGAACCCAGGAATTATATTTATCCCTTACACATAATTCAAAACATGATGAAAGTATAATGCAAGTCTGCAAATTTGTGTGCTTTTTGTGAAAAATTGATTACATATTTTAAAATAAACACTTGTAGGAGAGCATAACAAAAAGTGATAGTATTTATTTGATATTTATGCTTATGCTTAACTTTCTTAATCAAGCATATTTAGAACAGCCTGAATTGTGTGTCTATTTAAACTTCACTTTTCATAGCTAAACTGCTGAAAAAATAAAAGCATCTATCTTGATCAAAACTATTAGAACAAAATTGAAATATTTTCCCACTTTGCTCTCTCTTGAGTATATAGTCTTGAAATTCAGCACTTTTTGAGAAATATGTGCACTATTTAATGCATAGTGGTTCAATAAAATGGTTCAATAGAGTGGTTCAATAAGTTAAGAAATTAACTTAGTAGATTAAACACAACTGGAATCCCTCTCCTGGGCATCGCAGTTTAGTCTTCAGCTCTTACCTCTGCTGAGTGCAGGTTTTCTGTAAAGAAATCTCTTAATTAGTGTCTTAAAGCAGGGTGGTTTTAAAAAACTGGCTTTGGAATTTAGCCTGAATAAATACTGCCAAGACTTTAGGTTGGTTTTAAAAACTGGCTTTGGAATTTAGCCTGAATAAATACTGCCAAGACTTTAGGAGCTGTGTGGCATAAAACAGATAATTCAACCTCTCTGCACTTCAGCTTCCTGATCCAAAATTTGGAGTTCATTCATTGATTGAATACCTACCATGTGTTCAACACTGTTCTAAGATCTGGAAATATAATAATAACATGTTTGGTCCAAATCCTCATGAAGATTACACTACATGAAGCTGAAACTGAAGCTCCAGTTCTTTGGCCACATGATGCAAAGAACTGACTCATTGGAAAAGACCCTGATGTTGGGAAAGATTGAGGGTGGGAGAAGAGGTCGACAGAGGATGAGATGGTCGGATGGTATCACCAACTCGATGGACATGAGTTTGAGCAAGCTTCAGGAGTTGGTGATGGACAGGGAAGCCTGGTGTGCTGCAGTCCATGGGGTCGCAAAGAGTCGGACATGACTGAGCGACTAAACAGCAACAATTCTCATATTACATTGTTGGAGACAGTTTTAATGAATTAACACAAACATTTTCAGGGAATATTAGATGTCATGATGAAAATAAAACAGTGTGATGTGAAAGAGGTATTGAGTAGATGCTTCAGATGGAGTTGTCAAAGAAACCTTTCCTGGGAGGTGAGATTTAATCCGGGACCTGGACGTCAAGAGGTGCCATCCATGCTGCGGTCTAAATAAGCCGCCTAGGCAGAGGGAACAGCTGGGGAAAGGTGAGAGTGAGCTTACATGTCCCAAGAACAGAACAGAGCCCTGTGTGACTGTGGCAGAGTGAGTGAAAAGCAAGCAGGACACGGACTTCCCTGGTGGGCTGGTGGTTAAGACTCGGCACTGCCAATGTAGGGGGTGTGTGTTTGATCCCTGGTTAGGGAACTAGGAGCCCCCACGCTGCATGGGAGGCCAAAAATTTGAATGAATGAATAAATAAATGATACATTTAAAAAGCAGAGCAGGACAAGCAGCAGATAGGGACTAGATCATGCTGAGCCTTCGAGGCCCTGTAATAGAGCTTCGTTTTTATTTAAGTCCAATGTGAAGGCATTAGAGGCTTTTCATTAGGCTGGCTATGATGATTAAATGAGATAACAAATATGAAGGGCTCAGTACCAGGCAGACATGGCCCAGAGTAAACACTCAACAAGAGGTGACAACATCACCCTTAAACCCAGGCATATAATATCAGGAGGTCCAAAATGTTCCTTCTTATAAAATTCAGGGTCAAGATTATTGCAGAAAGAACAAGGCCCAACTAGGGGACAGGGCTCAAGTGCCAATCACCATAAAGCCAAATTCTCATCACCGTGGGCCATGTTTTACTGTGATATCTTCCTTATCATCATTGTCATCAACTAAAGTGAAATCAAATCTTAGGCCAGCCCTGTCCACCATTCTTAATTTTTGCCATCTGCCTATGGCAAAGTGAATTTGAAAAGGCAATCCCAAGCACCATGATCACTATGAAATGACATATTGTTTCTCCCAGTGCATCTCTGGGTAAGTGGATTTCCTGTTTCCCACACCTGCTGAGACTCCCTCCACCTACTTCCCAAAGCAGGTGGGCAGCAAACACTGAGGTGGGAACATTGAGAAGTCCATTTAGGTTGGAACTCACATGAGTGCATCAAGGATTTTTTTTTTTTCCCCTGGTCACACTTGATCATCTGTGCACTCTGTTTCTGGGACAGCACCATATAAAGCAATCCTTACTCTGAGGATCATTTCATTTACTAAATCATGGTTTATTTTTTCCTCTGGATATCACATGCTATTTTCGAGTCCATTTTCAAAAGGTCTTAAATGGCTTGGCTCAAAATTGGCTTTGTATTAAGGGAAAGAACCAGTGTCCCAGAGTTTCAATCAGCACCTCGACAAATAGGCGACTGACCTGCCCCGGAGTGCTCGGAGGTTGCCAATGGCAGGAGCTGGCTCAGAGATTTCCAAGGTTCACGTCTCTCTGCTGCTCTTCTACATTTTCCATACCCTATTTTTGATGAAATACAGGAGCACAGTTGTTGGCCTTATGGGAAGAGGTTGGAGGATGCACGGTGTAGTATCTGCCACCATATCCCATGTAACTGCTGAAGGTTCAGTTGTCTGCACTGTCTAGTCGCCTTGCATTAAAAGAATTTAACTAGCCCAGTTGTCTTTCACATAAAGTGATAAAGTTGCAATCTTGCATCAAAGTTGTCACAACATTGCTTCAAAAAACATACTAACCATGCCATTTGTTGCTGTTATTCAGTAGGTAAGTCATGTCTAATTCTTTGCGACCCCATGGACTGTAGCCTGCCAGGCTCCTCTGTCCATGGGGTTTCCCAGGCAAGAATACTGGAGTGGGTTGCCATTTCCTCCTCCAGGGCATCTTCCCAACCCAGGGATCTAACCTGTGTCTCCTGCATTGGCAGGCGAATTCTTTAACACTGAGCCACCAGGGAAGCCTGACCATGTTATTTCCATTTAATTAATGGACGGAGGAGCCTGGTGGGCTACAGTCCAGGGGGTCCACAAAGGGTCAGGCACAACTGAGCTACTGAGTGTGCACACACACACACACACACACACACACGCACTGTTAAATATAATGGCCTTTCAGTTATATATGAGAGAAATGAGGTTGTTTTTACAAACGAATTTTCCAGACAAGTGAAGTTCCCCCATCAAGAACCAAAATCAAAATATGTTTCAAAATTTGCCATTGTTTTTGGCAGAATTTAAACGTATTTCATATACTCAAAGACCACTTCAAGAAATGCAAGAATCATTATTTTCTTTATTTATAGCCAATGTCCACTTTAAGACACTGATACATGTAATGACTTCACTAAATAGCCCCAATTATGTTTCTCTAGTTCTTCGAGTGTCCTTTAAGTATGTCGGGTCCTTGTCTGTCTGGCTATTATCTGTCTGACTGTTCTTGGCTTGTGCTTGCTCACACCCGTTGGCATTTGATCTGCCTGAGAAACCAAACGATAAAGCTTCTAGGAATGAGCTGCATTATTTCACAATTCTCAGTCCAAAGGCCCCAGGCAAAGGCCTAAGAGTCATTCCAGATTTCAAGTAAGGATAAAGTACATAGGCTTGGAGACACATATTTTTCTTACTATTTTTTTTTCCTTTTTCCTTTGTAATTTTTTGTGAAGTATGAGAATCACCTTGAGATGAGTGATTGCGTGTTTTTACATGTTCTAAACCTTGCCTTGCATTTTCTAATACATATTGCTTTCTAGCCTTTCTAAATATGTTTCCTTATTCATCTCAGGAAGTTAATTTCTAACTGTTGTTAAACTGTTTTCTTAAGTTGTCAAAGATCCCTGGATGATGTTGTAGGGTGACCAAAAATATACATATATTTTGGAAGGGATTTTTGGTAGCCTGTCTCCTCCTTCTTCATCAAGATTCCTGAAGCGATTTAACTTTCATCTCGGCAGTGCAGCTTGGAATAGGTTCAGAAGAGTGAACGTCTGTTAAGGAAGAGAAAACAGCTCTGTCAGATAGCAATGAGAAAATGCAGTTGCTCTACCCAACCATTTCATAAATAGACACATAGATCCTTCTTAATTTTATTCCCCTGAGACTAATGACTGATCCTAATGAAAATCCCAGTAGAAATCATTGTAACAAAAATAGCCAAAACATTAAGAATAGGACCAGTGAGAATGATGATGGCTGATAAGCATTTGAAATATCAAGCAAACTTGCTAATCCAGCCACAGAAATAAGTACTAGCTCATGTGCTAAATAACTAAACAAAATTGGGAACTGTTTTACATGAATTAATGAATATGTGTATCTTAAGAAAAAAATTCTACAATCATCCTTGATTCCCTTTACTATTTTTTTTTTTTTTGGCCGCACCCCATGTCATATGGGACCTTAATTACCTGAACAGGGATGGAACCTGCACCTTCTGAAGTGCAAGCAGAGAGTTTTAACCACTGGACACCCAAGGAAGTGCCAGTCCCTCATTGCTTTCAATGGAATTAATGTATGGTAATGTAAGAAGGTCTCAAGCTTGTTTTATACTTTGGTTTTGTGTTACTTATAGTGTAGTTGTGTTTCTAGCAAAAATGTCAACTTCTCTCTTTAAATTAGTAAGAAAGGAAAGAAACGAAGAAAGAAAGAAAGGGAAAAGGTCATTCTGCAATAAAGCCTCTAACTCCTTTAATCATCCCTAACCTATCTGTAAACCCATAAACTAGCACTTTAAAAAATACTCAGCTCATACCATAAAGGATTTGATGTGACATAAAAATAAATAACATTGATAAAGATTTTTTTTTTTAAGTTGAGATGGTCTGGGCAAAATAAGAAAGAAGAAGCAAGAAAACAATAAAACCAACTAATGAATAGTCTACAGAAACGTCACACCGTATAGTCGGTAGAGCTGTGCTACACACCGGCTCAAAGTTTCTAGTAATTTAAGAGAAATGAAGAAGTTGTAAGACTCATTGGGATCATAAGATAAAAACAATGGTTGAATGATTAATTTTCCCCACAGGCCATATTAAAAGGGCTTCCAAGGTAACTCAGTGGTAAAGAATCCACCTGCCAATGCAGGAGCTGCAGGAGCCACGGGTTCAATGCCTGGATTGCAAAGATCCCCTAGAGGAGGAAATGGCAATCCACTCTAGTATTCTTGCCTGGAAAATCCCATGGACAGAGAAGCCTACAGTCCATAGGGCCAAAAAAAGTCAGATAGGACTAGACACGCAGGCATACAAAAAGGATATTGTGTAACAAAATGCTTGACATCCACACAAACAGGCTAAGAATAAAGTTAATAGGCTGTTACAACTGACTCTTCCTTCAGTATTCTTTACTCTTTTGCTACTCCATGATAACATTATGGAAAAAAACCTAACCAACTTTTTGGCCAACCCATATAAGATAATGTAATGCATTTTATCAAACTCAGTTCTCCAAAGAACTAGAATGTTGATGCTCTGGCTTGATCCCAGGGCAAAACTTATTACCTAAATGGAATTTCCCTCAAATGTTAATTTTTGCAACTAGGCTTTTGATAAGAACTTGATAAAAGATGGTTAAAACTTATATTCTCAAACTAGAATCCAGGGTGCAGATAGTCTGTGCAGTAAAATAAAAGCTGAGAACGTTGAGGAACTAACCAAGGCAAACATCTCAATATCTTCAGGAAGTACCAATATCGTGCCTTCTTAAAAGTTCTGCATCTATTTCAAAATATAAATGGAAAAGTAAGACACTGAACTTCTACAGTACAAAGAAGTACCACACTAATTTTCAGCCTGAATCTTTTCAATGTAGATGTTATCAGCCATTCACTGCAGCTCAAGGGGAAAAAATATCAGTAGTGCACTAAGAGAAAATTTTAATTTAAGCAATGTTGCTGTCCAGTGAATCCTACACAGTAAATTGGTTCCTTTGGTACATTGACTGTACGCTTGTCCTCAATTTTCATGCTTTCTTCTGTCTACACCCTTTGAGGCTGCCTTCCTACACTGACCCTGGGCGTGGACCTACTTTGGCCAATGTGATAGTGGCAGATTTGACAAGGCAATTGCCCATTTCTGCTTGCTTTCTTGGAACCCTCATTTCCAAGAACACAAATCCAGGTAGCATTTGGAAAATGAGAACTGTCTCAGTTGAGGACTCCTAACCTATCAGCCCTCAGCCCACCCACTATCACAAACTCAGCAATTGCTTCCATCTGCATTCCATGTAGGAAACAGAAACCACTCTAGGTATCAGAAAAAGTTTTCATACAAGGAATCAGATGCTTCAGAAGCCCACCACGGATGAATGCAGCAGTAAGTTCTCAGGTGGGCCTCCAGGAATAAATCCTAGGTGTCACAGAACTGACCCATCTTGGGAGCTTATATTTCCTGTAGGTCAGAAAGGTGGGAATCAGGACTCACCACCGGACAGCCTGAGATCAAGAACACACCACTGCAGCTGTGTGGAAAGAGCAGGAAGCCAGGATAAAAAGCCTTCGCCATCACCTCAGCTGCCCCTGCAAGCAGAGCAACTAGTGGATCAGTAATGCCAAAACAGCATCATCTCATGACTCTGCTTGCTGGAAGAACAAAGCAGCATGAAAATAGACTCTGTCTCCCCACCACCTTCCAACCCTCACATAAGGTCTCTGATTGGGGGAGACTTATTTATATCCCGAGCCATAACCACAAGTTGTGGTTGTTCAGTCACTGAACCTTCCCTGTCCATCACCAACTCCCAGAGTTTGCTCCAACTCATCTTCTTTGAGTCAGTGATGCCATCCAACCATCTCATCCTCTGTCATACCCTTCTCCTGCCCTCAATCTTTCCCAGCATCAGGGTCTTTTCCAGTGAGTCAGCTCTTCCCATCAGGTGGCCAAAGTACTGAAGTTTCAGCTTCAGCATCAGTTCTTCCAATGAATATTCAGGGCTGATCTCTTTTAGGATGGACTGGTTGGATCTCCTTGCAGTCCAAGGGACTCTCAAGAGTCTTCTCCAACACCATGGTTCAAAAGCATCAATTCTCCAGTACTCAGCCTTCTTTGTGGTCCAACTCTTACATCCGTATACAACTGCAAGTAGACCTGGACATACGATTTTCGCTCTCTGGTCTGAGAACCACACCCGTGTGCCAATCTAGCGGAACTAAGGCAGTAACTTCTAATTTTACTAAGAGAGGGACTGGTAAACATATTTTTAGTTTAGCAACAATCCATTCATAACAGCTGAAGGGGAACTTCTCTCTCAAGTCATCTAAGAGATTCCATCAATCTCTAGAGATCTAAGGCCTCACAAATAGAATTTAAATACATTGTTTCACTCCATTTCACCTTTCTCATCCCTCTAACTAAACCAGTTCAATTATAGCCATAAATAGTCATGGGACAACTAAGCCAACATTTACAGTTGAGGGGGAAATGATCACTCTCATCCCGTCCACGATCTCCATTTTCATAATGGTAATAACCAAGAAGCGATTAACTGTGTGTTGTGCTGTGTGTCCAACTCTTTGCGATCCTATGGACTGCAACCTGCCAAGCTCCTCTGTCCATGGAATTTTCCAGGCACTAATACTGCAGTGGGTTACCATTTCCTCCTCCAGGGGATCGTCCCAACCCAGGGATTGTACCCTTGTCTCTTGACTCTTCTGGATTGGCAGGTGGATTCTTTACTACTAGCGCCACCTGGGAAGCCTACAATTAAATATACATTTCTTTTTACTTTCGTGGATCCAGAAAGGCTTTAAGGGAGATGCTAACTACAGCCTAGCCTTGGACAGATTGACTGGACTACTGATGAAAATCTAAATGTCAGGCACATGCAGAGCTCATTTTCACACAAAACAGCTGCAAAGCATTCTTTATACTAAAGTCACAGATGATCCTGGCCCGCTGGTCACCATTAAGGGCACCAGGAAGTCTTGTTTCAGCCTAGGCAGCCATAGAAACTTGAAGTATCCTTGATGAGAATTCAGTCAAAACTGGGGTGGGGAGAGAGTTGTTAGATAGCAATATATTGAATGAACCAGACCCTTTTTCTTGGATGTTTAAGAATGAAACACACAGAAACCCATCTGAGGGGGTTGGAAAACTAAAAGACATAGAGAAAAGGATGCCAGCCAAAGCTAAGATGTAGAAAGAAGAAAAATCAGCTGAAAGAGGTAAAGAGAATAAAATGCCAGCTTGGTAGAAGGCATAGAAACAGAGATAAACTAAGATATGAAATTGGTAACTCTGTACACATGAAAAGATATTTGTGTGATTTATTACATTTTTGTGATTCTTAATAACCAGCATTTTGTTTCCTTGCAACCTCAGAAAGCCTAACTCATAGACCACTACTCCCAAAACAAAGGGAGTGACCTCTCCCGGTTTACCCCACATGAAAAAGCAGCCTCTAGGTGCAAACCAAGTTGGTGACAAATTTACCATTCAGCATGTCCCCATAAAAAGTGGCTCATGGTGACTTGAGGCTTAAGGAATATCTTCATTTGTTCTTTAACAGACCAGATGTTTAAACAGCTCTTCCTGCTATGGGATCCACAGAATAAATTCCCCAAATGACAAAGGTGGTCCCACAGCTAAGCAGACAGTGGGTGATCCAATAAGGACAATATATTCATCAAGGCAAATCTCATCTGATTTATCAGCTAAAGTAATGACAAAAATGTTCCTGTGAGCACAGAGAATGCTAAGGACTGTGTCTCCCTGGTCTTCGCAAGCTCCTGAGCAAATCCTCTTGATTGCTTTGTGTTATTTTCTGGTTTCTAGAAACCTCATCTCCCAATTCTTTGGTCTTCCCTTCATAAAACGGAGCAGGTCGGGATGGGCCTTCCCTCCCCACGCCTCATGTCCTCAGCCTGCCTTTTGTTTGTGGAAAACTTTAGTCAAAGCACAAGTTTAATCAGAGAAACGAGAACATGTGGAAACAGGAAAACAATCAAAGGAGAACAAATACTAATAATACACTCATTAAGCATAGTCAAGGACCTTTAGTTCTTTCTCTAGCGCTGTAGAGAAAATTCTGAGATGTCTCTTGTGAGCTGTCTTACAGGCTCTGAAACCCCTCCCAGGTGGAGAAGTTAATTACGATGACCAGACTGTAGCCAAGCCCTGGGCTGCCACAACTCCAAGAACTGGCCTCAACACAGTGGAAACAAACCTGCCCTAGAACTGAATACTAATTGTACCTAAAACAACCAAGCGGACACTGGTCAGACCACTGATGACCAACTTGAAGATGATGGTCAGAGCTGCCTGTGATGTTTCCGCACGTAGCCCTCTTTGTCTGTCTGTAAAAGCTCTTGTCCCACCGGTTGCCAGAGGGGTAAGTCGGCCTTGGGACGGATGTCCGCCCTCCTGCCCAGCTGTCAGCATCTGAAATAAAGCAAACTTTCCTTTCCACCAACCTGGCCTGTTTATTGGCCTTTGAGCAGTGAGGAGCTGGACCCCACACCTTTCGGTAACATTCAGACACCCATTTAGCCATCCGTTAAGTCTCTGCTTCATGCAATGTCCAGCGATACATGCTGGCGATACAGTGCCTACCTACCAGTTGGGAAAGATTGCAACAAATTTTGTCACAACTAGGATAAGTGCTGTGAAGGAGAAGCACGGAAGCTGTGAGAATGACTCACAGGGAATGTCTTGGGAGTCATCAAAGGCTTTCTAATGTAAGTGTTTGTTTACTGAAGTAGAACTAAGTCAAAAGGGAGCAGATGAGCATTCTAGGTTGAGCAGAGCAGAGGCTGAGACCTTGAAGCAGGAGGTAAAGCAGACAGGATGAACTATTCAGGCTTCTGTGGCCAGAAGACAGAAGGCCGAGAAGGCAAAGATACAGGTGCCATAAGCAGGGACCAGAGCCAGGCCCAGAGCCATACTGAGAGTTTGTGTTTACTTTCTAGTCTGGGCAAGGAATATTTGGCTAACTATTTGGATCCAGTGGAAATTCTGCCCTTGAGTTTTCATTCCACAATTATGAATACACCATTTAATCCAAGTAATACAAAATGAATTTTTATCTAAAAAGCATTCTTCTTAGCAATTAAATCAATTTAATTCTTGATCAATTACCATATAGAAGATTTTAATCGATTTAATCCTTCCCATTTCCTTTTAAATTTACTAAAATTAATATCAATTGTCAAACTTTGTTATTATTATGGTTACTTTTATTATTAGTTTTGGCAGTGCTGCTGAGGAATGCAGGTTCTTAGTTCCCTAAGAGGAATCAAACCCACTGCCCCCTGCTGTCAAAGTGGAGTCTTAATCACTGGACTGACAGGGTAGTCCCCAGATCAATTTTTTAACTAAAACTTTCCATGGAAATTTGATTCATCAATAGTTTTATCCTCAAATTATCTACCATGGTCTCTACCAAGACTTGATACCTTAATTATTTTTATTAAAATTTTATCAAGTGTCATCTTTAATCCCTGTCAGTTCTGTTGTTGCTGGTTATGTTTATAAGCAATGCTCTGAGTTAGATGAATTAGTTTTCACTTATTTCTTAGCTAAACCATAAGGAAATCTCCTGCTGCCCTTGGACCACCCTTTATGGATCGCTGAATGTTTCCCAAAAGGTGGTTCACATACCGTTTGTTTGAGATGGCTGGTTAAAATTTTTTTTTAATAATTATGCATTTAAGTGCTAATTAGAAAAAGTTATAGTACACGTAACACATACGATTATCCTTTAAGACACACTAAATCTGTCCCGATTTAAGGAAAATAAATCATTTGCAAGTGTCTAATCAAGGAACAAAAGACAAGCCAAACGTTCTACTCAGTTGTCTATATTTTTTACTAGGAGAGTGGATTACTTTCACTGTGTGAAATTATTCTTTAAAGTATTCTGCCTTCATTCAGTCTTTTGAAATCAGTCATGTGCTGATGTGGGATGACAGAGATCAGGTTTTAAAGGATTGTGGGAAAGTAAAAGGGGTTTCTATTTCCAAGAAAAAGCAGGAAAGGGATTTCCCAGGTGTTCCAGTGGTTAAGACATCATGCTTCCACTGCAGGGGGGCGAGGTTCCACTCCTGGTGGGGGAACTAAGATCCCACATGCCCTGTGGGGCGGCCAAAAAACAGAAGGAAAAAAAAAAAGGAGGAAAGAGGAATACAGTTGCTTAACAACGTGCATTTTGCAATCTAATCTGGGTAGAGATCCTAGTTTTAAGACTACTAGCGCTGTTATCTTGTACAAACTACCTTTTTTGTAAACTGCAAAAGGAAGTAATTAATAAAAGACTGACCACTAGCTAAGATACCGCACATAAAGCAAATAACGGGACCTGGCACATATGAGCACTCAGTACGTAATTTTCCTTTCAGATTTGCATTTATCACCTTCAAGTCCCCAGAGATGCCACAGCGCCCAATTCTGAGCCCAAGTTCAGCCACAGATTTGGAGGATGAAGGCAGGAGTTCGGCATCGGAAAAAAAGGGCTGCCCACCTGGCTGACATCGTGGGGAGCTCTAGAAGATTTACAAGGAAGCTACTCTTGGAAGCCGTGGCAAAACTCAAGGACAAAACTGACAAAATTCAAAAGTCCCCACCACAGAGCCGATGCGTCTAAGCGAACGAAATAAGCGGCAGAGAGCCACATCCGCCAGTCAGCCTACGCGTGCGTCGGCCGGAAGACAGAAGGCCCAGCCCGATCGAGCCGCCCCATCGATCGAGCAGATCGAAAATCGTCAACTCAGTTCTGGCGACGCGAACTGCTCCTTCTCGCGAGGGTTCAGACTAGGCCGGCGGGGGAAGGGGCGGGCCCGGCTGAAGAGAGAGGAGGAGCGTGAGGCTGCCGCACGCTACGTTCCCAGGAGGCTGTGCGCGCCTCTCGCTTCCTCTGGGATCTTCTGAGAGGGCGCGTGAACGGCTCCCTGCAGAGTGGTCATGGCGCTTCACGTCCCCAAGGCCCCGGGCTTTGCCCAGATGCTCAAGGAGGGAGCGAAGGTAAGAAAACGAGGAAGCGGGGATGAGGTGGGAGAGCCGCGGCGGCCGCAGCCAAGAAAAGAAGCCTACGAACCGGCCCGGCGTGCCCACCCGACATAGCGGTCTGAGGGAAAGAAGATTCCAGAAAGGGAGGTGTTCTCGGGCGGGCTCGGCCGCGGAGGGCCGCCGGCATTTCGGGTTTTTGTTTGTTTGTTTTACGGGCCCAGGAGAGGGGGCAAGAGGCCAGAAACGGCGAGTGGGCGACGAGGCCGCAGGCAGCGCGTTCTGTACTTTGTATCCGCACAGGGTGTGAAGGCCGCTGTTTGCATTTTTCCTCCGTCAGTAAAACGGGAGTGAGGAGGATTGTCTTTAGGGGGCGCGAAGTGGGTGAAATAACGTAGGTGAAGGTGCTTTGAGTACTGCGAAACGGCTCCAGGAGCGGGTGGTCCGGGGAGGAGAGGGACGAGGCAACTCTTGCAAATGAGAAACGATGGGCTCCCTATTTAGTTCTCAGAAATAGTACATTATAGTAGGATAAACCTTAGTTACAATCCCAGTGGGTTCTGGTCTGATCTTAGCCAGCTTGAGGTAAAACTTAACCCTCTGGGTCTTGCTTTCCTCGTCTTTCAATTGGGGAGATTGGACGGAAAGAGTTGTAACCCACAGGGTAAGTGACACCCTGACCTAAGTAAAGCCTTTGTTTTTTGGCTAGATCTTGAAAGTAATTTTAACAGCATGTTGGTTTTTTTTTTTAAAGTCTCAGACGTACTACTGTTAAATGTGTCTTTTATGTTCAATTAGTTGTGTTCCCTATTGTCTCCCAGACTTTCTGTGCTTAAAGGAATGTAGATAGCGTGGTTCCATTTGTGGTAACAGTTTGAGGGAACTAGGTTTCTTGTTGGCAAGGATGCATTTTGGGGATAATGTGACTCTAGTAGGTAAGGAGGTTTACTGTAAGAATTGGTGAAAGAGCTTTGCTGAAAATGACATGAATTCACTTTTTTTTTTTTTTTAAGCCTGGGAAGTGTCCATATTTTTTTATTCTTCTGAGGCAGAAATAATAAGTGACCAAATAAGCAAAAAGGATAATTTCAAATAATGATAAAGGAAATTGGACGCGCACCTCTAAAAATAATTAAAAAGGAAAGTTTGGGGTAGAACAATAAGTAAGATGTTAAGGAAAGAACTCTCAGCTCTGTGCTTAGTAGCCAAGATTAAAATGTTTCAGGCTAAGGGACCAAACTCTGAGGATGAAGTGAGTTTGACATCTTAAAACAGTGGTAAGAGATGAAATTAGAAGAGTTGTTGGCAAGGATTAGAGGGTGTAGGACCTTGTAGCCCTCACAGGGGATTTACATTTTATCCTAAGAGTGAGGGGAAGTCTTTGAACCGTTGAGTAGGATCTGATTTATGGTCAGAGGTGACTGTTCCTCAGAGAATGGGAGAGAAAAGGAGTATAAGGCAGTTTTGTCTGTCTGCTATGATAGAAATGTTCTGAATCAGCATTATCCAATGTGGTATCCACTAGTCACATGTAGCTACTGGGCAGTTGGACAGTGTTTAGTACAGTTGTGGGACTGAGTTTTTAATTAATTACTAAAATTTTAAATAGCCCCTTGTGGCAGTTGCCTACTCTGTCAGGCAAAGCAGCTCTTAAAAAATGTTCACATGAACAGTAGGCTCTTGAAATTTATCTGAGACTCACAAGTAAATCCCATGGCTAAAAGAAGTTCATTGTAAAATTTGAAAATTTGAGTACTGTGAGCAGTTCAGTTTTCAGTGTATACACATTGGAATTAATGTGTACAAATGAGCAGTTTGTTTCAGTTCAAATGAAAATTCACAATCTATGCTTTAGTTCTAAAAATGTATAAGGTAAATATGTTAATTCCCTCTGAACATAGACCTGTTGACTCTACAATGCTGAGGTTTTATCACATTCATACCACATGTCAGCTTTTAGAAAGAATTGGTAGACTGTGGAAAGGTACTTTTATCTGCAGTGGTTCATAGGCTTTCTCTAATCAGTCTTAGCACTCTTCTCTGCACTTCTCACCACACTTTTTAAAAATTATAGGCTTTGTTTTGATGTGTAAGTAGGTACCCATGGTCCCTAAAAATGTCATGCTTTATTCATTCAATTAGTGGACAAATCTATGGATCATAGATTACAATGGTATCTGTGGTATCATAGGAGCACCAAACACCATGCTCTACATACATCAATCTTGCTTGACAATGTCAGCAGTCTTTTGAGACAGGTACTATTCTACTACTCCCATTTTACAGATAAAGAAATTGTTGAGACTAACTGTCCTGCCTAATTAGAAGTTTTCTTCTCCAGCATTTTTCAGGATTAGAAGAGGCTGTGTACAGGAACATACAGGCTTGCAAGGAGCTGGCCCAGACAACTCGCACAGCATACGGACCAAATGGTAATTTCTAAATTCATGTTTTAAAAATACAGGACTATGATAGAATTTTTTGTAATAGTTCTTTGAAACTTGTTTGAGGATAGTATATGTAAATTGAGAGTTTTAGGCATAATACAGTATGCCATTGAAAATTATTTCACAACTCCTGTACAGTTTTTCTAATCTTTAATCAGCAGTTCAGATCTTTTTAGAAAAGTTGGAATCGAAATGTTACTTTTTGTCCTACTGAGAGGATAGAAAAGTTATGGTGCTTTCACCTTTGAGGTAGTACCTAGTGTTCATTGTTACAGCTGTGGAACGGTTCTCTTACGTAAAATGACATAATTTAAGGGAGAAAAATTGTCTCTTGCTTCCCACCATCAACTGAATTAACTGATACAAATTTATGGACTAAGCAAAACAAATATATTTTCAAGTAAATAATTTTAGTCTTTGTACATGTCAATATAATTTAAATTGAACAAAAATATGAACTTGGCAGGAAAGAAAGAATACAGGTGTGCAGGCAGGGGAAGCTATTGGGCTGTGGCTTTAAGAATAGGTAGTATGTTTTGAGTTCTTACAACGTTATTCCAAGTAATGGATGGCAAATTTGTGTTTCTTGACTGGATTTTCTTTGGTGTCTGGAGAAGTGTTTGAGTGACGATGGATTTCTTTTTCTAACTATTTTTGAGGAATGAACAAAATGGTTATCAACCACCTGGAGAAGTTGTTTGTGACAAATGATGCAGCGACTATTTTGAGAGAGCTAGAAGTAAGTTATTTCTTTTAAAAACCCAAGAACTGTTTTGGTGATGTCAAAAATTCAGTGTATTCTAACATCGAATAACCTTTATTTCATTCACATTGGATAATAAGGAGGTTTGTTTTTTTTTAATTCCCAACTTGAAAATTCATTATATAGATATTTCTAGTTATAGAGAATCCTCTTTATGTTTAACATCTTTGCTCCTCTTAAAATCTTCTGTAATTTATGGAGAGATTAGTTGTTATAAAATATACATATATATTTGCTGATACTATCAAATTGAATGTAGTCGTCTTTAGAGCGTGACGCTAAAGTGAATTATTCCATAATGTAGAAGCAGCTGATACTTTAAGATGGGTTTGTTTTAATTGTGTTTGTGAAATTAAATCAGTTGGTGGAATTTTGTTTTGTTCACCTACAGTTTTGATGGTATAGAGTCTGTAGAACAGATAACTGCCAGCGGGTTTATGAGGACAGTCTGGCGCCTGATCACACATGGACTGCCACTCCTCAGCCAGCTGCTAATTGAAGGATATGTTCAGTCTCAGGGAATTTTTCTTAAAGCACCAGGATTAATTCTTTAGTCAGAACTCCGTAGATAGCTTTTTAAATAATGATATGAGCGTGTCACTTGCTCAGTTGTGTCTGACTCTTTGTGACCCCATGGACTATAGCCCACCAGGCTCCTCTGTCCATGGTATTCTTCAGGCAGGAATACTGGAGTGGGTTGCCGTGCCCTAACCCAGGGATAGAACCTGGGTCTCCCACATGGCAGGCAGATTCTTTACCATCTGAGCCACAAGGGAAGCCCAAATAATGATATAGTGTTAAAGTAATAATATTGAACAAAACAGATCCACGAGATAGCTGTGGAGGGACTTGTCATTATGAAGGTTAACATTGTACTCCGTGATGTTCTCAGGAGTTATTTAAGTATTATGGGGCTGTTGTCTTCATAATAAACCAGTGTCAGCTATTTATTTTTCTCAGTGCTATCACTTGTCACTCCTTACTTCTTTAAAAAGCATCTTAAATTCTAGGGAAGGACCACTTAAAATTTTGATACCCTTTAAGAATATTTTATATTTTTTTTTTTTAGACCATAATTGATAACCCCTTTCAATGAGGATATACATAAATATTGAGACTTAACACCAAGCTAAATGACATCTACTTTAGCACTTCTGAAGCCTTTTTTTAAAAGTGCCTTAGGTTGGAATTACTTTGTTTTTTAATTTAGTGAACTTGTAATAGTGTTAGGAACCTTATGTGTACAGTGTACATACTGAGTGACTGACCACTGAAAGAAAGTGCCCTGTGAAGTTACTGTCATTTATGGTGGTGCATTCGTGCTGATGGGTGTAAGGGGACCTGGATTGTCTTCTTGTGACCACACTACAGGTGGGATCAGAAGAGTTACCTGACCCATAGGAGATTGGAGTCATTTAAGAAGAAATGGAAAGGAAACTTTTCATATTGCTTTAAGGGTTAAATGTTTTACCTTGCTATTTAAATTCGAACGCCTTATACCAGGTACAACATCCTGCTGCAAAAATGATTGTGATGGCCTCTCACAT